ATACAAAAAATTAGCTGGGCATGGTGGCACGTGCCTGTAATCCCAGCGACTCAGGAGGCTGGGGCAGGAGAATTGCCTGAACCCGGGAGGCGGAGGTTGCGGTGAGCCGAGATGGCGCCATTGCACTCCAGCCTGGGTAATGAGCGAAACTCCGTCTCAAAAGAAAAAAAATAATAATAATAATAATATGCATTTCATATCAAAATATCTCATGTAATCCATAAATGTACACACCTACTATATACTCATGATAATTTAAAATGTTAAAAAATTAGCCAGGTATGGTGGCACACACCTATAATCCCAGCTACTTGGGAGGCTGAGGCAGAAGGAATGCTTGATCCAGAGAGGTTGAGGCTGCAGGGAGCCATGATCCCACTACTGCATTCCAGTCTGGGCAACAGAATGAAACCTGCCTCAAAAAAAGAAATTAAGGCCGGGCGCGGTGGCTCAAGCCTGTAATCCCAGCACTTTGGGAGGCCGAGGCGGGTGGATCACAAGGTCAAGAGATCGAGACCATCCTGGTCAACATGGTGAAACCCCGTCTCTACTAAAAAAAAAAATACAGCCGGGCGCGGTGGCTCAAGCCTGTAATCCCTGCACTTTGGGAGGCCGAGGCGGGTGGATCATGAGGTCAAGAGATCGAGACCATCCTGGTCAACATGGTGAAACCCCGTCTCTACTAAAAATACAAAAAATTAGCTGGGCATGGTGGCGCGTGCCTGTAATCCCAGCTACTCAGGAGGCTGAGGCAGGAGAATTGCCTGAACCCAGGAGGCGGAGGTTGCGGCGAGCCAAGATCGCGCCATTGCACTCCAGCCTGGGTAACACGAGCGAAACTCCGTCTCAAAAAAAAAAAAAAAAAAAAGAAATTAAATAAAAATTTTCCCACAGAGAAAATCTGGGAGTGGATGGCTCCACTAGTGAGTTCCATCAAGTATTTAAAGAGGAAAGGATAATTCTTCAGAAATTCTTTCAGAAAATAGATGAGCGGGAATACTTTCCAACTTATTCTATGAAACCAGTATTATTCTCATACCAGAGCCAGACAAACATCACAAGGGAAAAACAAATAAAACCACACACCAATATTCCTATGCTGTGTAACACCATAGACATAGACACAAAATTCTTAACAGGCTTGAGAACGTTTTTTTTCCTCAAACTGGGTTTTGCAGGTGTTTACCCATATGAAAACTTACCATATTGTTTAAATACATGCAGCTTATTCTATATCGATTATAACTCATTAAAGCTGTTTAAGAAAAATGTTAGCAACCTGAACCTGGCAACGTACAAATAGGATTTTACAACATGGCCAAATGGAATACATACCAAGAATGTTAGATTGATTCAACACTGAAAAACTGTATAATAAAAGACAAAAACTGTATGAATATTTCAATAGATGCAGCAAAAGGCATTTAGCAAAACCAACATCTATTCATGGCAAAACTCTCAAGAATCTAGGAATAGAAGGGAATTTCCTCAACCTGATAATGGGCATTAAAAAAAACACTAGGCCAGGCATGGTGGCTGACTCCTGTAGTCCCAGCACTTTGGAAGGCCAAGGCTGGCAGATCATGATGTCAGGGGTTCCAGACCAGCCTGGCAAACATGGTGAAACGCCATCTCTACTAAAAATACAAAAATTAGCTGGGTGTGGTGGCATATGCCTGTAATCCCAGCTACTGGGGAGGCTGAGGCAAGAAAATCATTTGAATCTGGGAGGCATAGGTTGCAGTGAGCCAAGATCATGCCACTAGACTCCAGCCTAGGTGACAGAGCAAGACTCCATCTCAAAAAAATTTAAAAAAAAAAATTTTTTTTTAAATCCTAGCTAACATCCTATAGAATGGTGAAAGACTGAATGTTTTTCCTCTATCACAGGAAACAAGCAAGGATGTCTGCTTTCAACATTTCTGTTCAACGTTGTACTGGATGTTCTAGTTGGTGCAGTCAAGTAAAAGAAAAGAGAAGAAAGTATGCAAATTGGAAAAAAAGTAAAACTGCCTTGGTAGTCACAGATGACATAATCCCATATATAGAAAATTTCAAGGAATCACCGGGTGCCGTGGCCCATGCCTATAATCCCAACACTTTGGGAGGCTGAGGTGGGTGGATCGCAAGGTCGGGAGATCGAGACATCCTGGCTAACACAGTGAAACTCCATCTCTACTAAAAGTATATAAAATTAGCTGGGGATGTGGCACACACCTGTAGTCCCAGCTACTCGGGAAGCTGAGGCAGGAGAATCACTTGAGACAGAGGTTGCAGTGAGCTGAGCAACAGAATGAGACTCTGCCTCAAAAAAGTAAAAGAGAAAAGAAAAATTCAAGGAATCAATAATAATAAAACTACTGAAACTAATAAATGATATTAGCATGCTCAAAAATTATATGTCTATATACTAGCAATGAATAATCTTAAAATGAAGTTGAGTAAACAATTTCTTTCACACTATCAAAAATAATAATAGTAATAAATTTAATAAAAGAAGTAAAAATGTGGCTGGTGCAGTGGCTAACGCCTGTAATCCCAGCACTTTGGGAGGCCGAGGTGGGCGAATCATACGGTCAGGAGATTGAGGCCATCCTGGCCAACATAATGAAACCCCATCTCTACTAAAAATACAAAAATTAAGGGCCAGGCGCGGTGGCTTACACCTGTAATCGCAGCACTTTGGAAGGCTGAGGCAGGTGGATCACCAGGCCAGCAGTTCAAGACCAGCCTGGCCAAGATGGTGAAATCTCATCTCTACTAAAAATACAAAAATCAGCTGGATGTGCTGGCAGGCACCTGCAATCCCAGCTACTCTGGAGGCTGGGACAGAGAATTAATTGCTTGATCCCAGGAGGCAGAGGTTGCACTGAGCCAAAATCATGCCACTGCACTCCAGCCTGGCGACAGAGCAAGAATCTGTCTCAAAAAAAAATAAAATTAGCTTGGTATAGTGGCACATGCCTGTAATCCCAGCTATTCCGGAGGCTGAGGCAGGAGAATCGCTTGAAAGAAGAGGTCAGAGGTTCCAGTGAGTCAAGATCGTGCCACTGCACGCCAGCCTGGTGACAGCGAGAGACTCTGTTTCAAAAAAAATATATAAATACATTTCATCTTAATGGATTGAAAGGCTGAATACTATCAATATGGCAGGCAATTCACCCCACATTGATCTATAAATTCAATGCAATTCCTGTCAAAATCCCATCAGACTTTTTGGTTAAAAATTGGCAAGCTGAACCTAAAATTTATAATGACCTGCAAAGGACATAGAGTAGCAAAATAATTTTGAAAAAGAATAAAGTTGGAAGACTTTCAGTAGTTGATTTTAAATTTACTATAAAGCCACAATGATCAAGATAATGTGATATTAATTAACACAAGGATAAGTAAATAGATCAAGGGAAAATACTTAAGAATCTATAAGGCCGGGCGTGGTGGCTCAAGCCTGTAATCCCAGCACTTTGGGAGGCCGAGGCGGGTGGATCACGAGGTCAAGAGATCGAGACCATCCTGGTCAACATGGTGAAACCCCGCCTCTACTAAAAATACAAAAATTCAGCTGGGCATGGTGGCGTGTGCCTGTAATCCCAGCTACTCAGGAGGCTGAGGCAGGAGAATTGCCTGAACCCGGGAGGCAGAGGTTGCGGTGAGCCGAGATCGCGCCATTGCACTCCAGCCTGGGTAACGAGTGAAACTCCGTCTCAAAAAAAAAAAAAAAAAAAGAATCTATAAATACATTCTAACATTTATGGACAATTAATTTTTGACACATTTACCAAGATCATTCAATGATGAATTGAATTATCACTTCTTTGTCTTTAAGAAGTGATTCTGAGCAAATGGATGCCTACACGCCAAAGGAGAAGAAGACTTGCCTTACACATCATACATGAAAATTAGCTCAAAATGGGTCATAGAGCTAAAACTATAATACAATAGAAAACTGCTGTAAATTTGGGTTGGGGTAAAGAGATTCCAGATAGAACAACAAAAGCATGATCCATGAAATAAAAATATTGATAAATTGAACTTTGTCAACAAATAAAAACTTTTCTGTTTCAAAAGACAGTATGAAGAAAATGAGAAGACAAGCCACAGTCCAAAGGAAAATATTTGCAAATCATTTATCTGATACAGGACTTGTATTCAGAACACTTATGACTCAAGAATAAGACAAGCAACACAATTTTGCAAATAAGCAAAAGATCTGAATACATACATTTCACCAAAGAAGATCTAGAAAAGGCTAATAAACACATACAAAGATGCTCAATATCATTATTCATTAAGGAACAGCAAAGTTAACCACAATGAGATACCAGTAAAAACTCATTAGAATGGCTGTAATAAGAAAAACAGACAATACCTAGTATAGGCAAGTATGTGGAGAAACTTGGGCCTTCATGCATTGCTAGTGAGATGTAAAATGGCAGCCACTTTGGAAAACAGTTTGGCCATTACTTAAAAAGTTAACCATAAACTTACCACATGACTCTGCAGTTCTACTCCTAGGTATCTATGGAGTTTATGTCTATATAAAGTCATTTATGACAATGTTTATAGCAATATTATTTAAAAAGCCAGAAACTGAAAACAACCCAAAATCTCATCAACTGGTGACTGGATAAACAAAAGTGAAAACATGGCCGGGCGCGGTGGCTCAAGCCTGTAATCCCAGCACTTTGGGAGGCCGAGGCGGGTGGATCACGAGGTCAAGAGATCGAGACCATCCTGGTCAACATGGTGAAACCCCGTCTCTACTAAAAATACAAAAAATTAGCTGGGCATGGTGGTGTGTGCCTGTAATCCCAGCTACTCAGGAGGCTGAGGCAGGAGAATTGCCTGAACCCAGGAAGCGGAGGTTGCGGTGAGCCGAGATCGCGCCATTGCACTCCAGCCTGGGTAACATGAGTGAAACTCCGTCTCAAAAAAAAAAAAAAAAAAGTGAAAACAAATATCCATTAAATGATGCATGAATATATAAAGGTGGTATTGCCATACAGTGGAATACCATTCAGCATTTAAAAGAGGGCAAATGTGCTGATGCATGCTACATGAATAAACCTCAAAAACATGATGTCAGGAAGCCAGACACGAAAGTCATCATGTGTATGAATTCATGGATATAAAATGTCTAGAAAATGCAAATTTGTAGAGCAAAAAAATCACATCAGTGTTGCCTAAGGATAGGAGTAGGAGCTGGGATTAACTGTAAATGGGAATAAAGAACTTTGGGGAGGTAATGAAAATGTTCTAGGGCTGCATTGTGGTGATGGTAGTACAATGCTATGAATTTACTAATGTCATTGAATTGAATACTTACATTCGATAAATTTTGTGGAATGTCAATTGTGTTTCAATAAAACTATTTTTTAAGGCCACTGAGTTTGACTGTTGGAAGTAAGAGAGATAAAAGCAGAAATAAATGAGGTTGAAAGCAGAACAACAGTAGAACGAATAAAAACATTTGTTTTTGAAGAACATTAACAAAATAAAAAACAACTAGGTATTCTAATCCAGCAAAAAGAAAATGCAAGCCCTGTTTAATAAATAGTGTTGAGAAAATTAGCTAGTCATGGACAATTAAGTCATGTGCAGGTCATGTGCAGAAAGTCATGTGCAGGAAGCTGAAACTGGACCCCTTCCTTACACCTTATACAAAAATTAACTCCAGATGGATTGAAGATTTAAACATAAGAACTAACACCATAAAAACCCTAGAAGAAAACCTAAGCAACACCATTCAGGACATATGCATAGGCAAGGGCTTCATGACTAAAACACCAAAAGCAATGGCAGCAAAAGCGAAAATAGACAAATGGGATCTAATTAAACTTAAGAGCTTCTTGTGCACAGCAAAAGAAACAATCATTAGAGTGGAACGGCTACCAACAGAATGGGAAAAAATTTTTGCAAATTACCCATCTGACAAAGGGCTAATATCCAGAATCTACAAAGAACTAAAGCAGATGTACAAGAAAAAAAACAAACCCATTCAAAAATGGGCAAAGGATATGAAGACACTTTTCATAAGAAGACATTTATGCGGCCAACAAACACATGAAAAAATGCTCATCATCACCGGTCATTAGAGAAATGCAAATCAAAACCATATTGAGGCCGGGCGCGGTGGCTCAAGCCTGTAATCCCAGCACTTTGGGAGGCCGAGGTGGGTGGATCACGAGGTCAAGAGATCGAGACCATCCTGGTCAACATGG